CCGGCGCACGAAAGTTCATGATTAATGGTTGTAACAACTGAACTGAACTGAATGTCATGCTCTATTCAACTTAGGCTGCTCTACTTTTAACCTCGTTAGCTGACGTGAATCGTACTAAAATCCGTTTCTGTTCAATATGGAAGGCTTTAACTAGATGACTTCATGAGCAATATGCGACGTGCTAATCATCAATCAGTTTAAGATGCTAAGCGAAGTGTCCTAGCCAAAACCAAACATAACAATGTGATTACCGTATCACAGTTTTTGAATTATTGTGCGCAAACCGAGGGGCGATTTCTATGAAACAATAATTGCCGTTGAACAACTGATTCAGCTAAAAGCACATGAATGTGGACGTTCGGCCAGATCAAGAAAAGTTACCACTAGGATTACTGGTAAGCGGCTTCCAGTTCTTCGAGTCACCTGACACAAACTTTCCGCTTTGTTGGCTTCGCCACCCATTTGACAGAATCATTTCGCTCCCGATCAGCAAACATCGAACAGGAATTACACTCATGGAATGATCGGTTTCAGGTAGAAAACGCCACGGAAGTTCTTGCATGATATCCTTTACCCACTTACTTTACTTTATGGTGGCTGGCTCCTGGGAGAGGATAAGCCGGTTTCATGGATATCAAGTGAATATCCACGAAATTTCTTGGGAGTTAGGTATGGAAAACGTCCCCCGTGTCACTCGGCTTTGGGCCGAGGTGACAACTCTAGCTTTTGCACATCAAAGTGCTAACTGTAAGGGAGCAGGAAGGTAGCGCATGGCTGCCGGTGGCCCTATGCGGGGGGAGCTCATATGCCATAGACGGTTTCTAGCTGGACGGGAGTCCATGCATCCCTGATGAGTACGGAGTCATTGCCTTCAGCGTTGAGTCATGAAAGCGACATCGTCCACCTAACACGTATGTTAGACATCGACTCGCCAGGAGTTGAGCTCCCATTACCCTCAACCTGACCCGTCTGTCAAGCGGTTTACCGGGGTGTGGCTGCTGTTGCATCCAAACAGCTTCTTGTTGCCACAGGTGAGAGCTAAGCGCCTGGTGGGTATCAAAGAACGGAGGATGTCCCAAAGGGGCCGACAGCCCTCAAGTCTGAGATGCTACTCCTACCGGGTACCCCATAAACCCGATAATAATCATTATACGAGAATTTTCGTTCTTATCATACACCTTTTTGTGAGGAACAACAGACAGGATGAACCCCATGGTCATAGGGATCTGCCGTTCCCTCATGGAAGCCAGCAACCCGGGACTTCAAATAGCGGACCACATAAAGCACATTAGATTAGGTGTGGGTTGGGGCCGGACGACTGCGAGGTTCCTATCAGATGATATCCACTGTCGAAAACCACGCTGGTTTGAATCTGACCCGCAGTCTTCGTTCTGTCAACGGGATGAACACTACACGAATAGAAATCAATGACCCATACATCGGTGGACAATGAATCAATCAAGTTTAGAAACGTTAATATATCATGACCGGGTTGGGTGATNCCCCCCCCCCCCCCATAAATCAAAACCATTTCTATATCACGCAATGAAACCCCCAGTGACAGGAATATACGGAAAAAGAAATTACCAAACTCTTAGGATGCAAAGTTGACTCCATATTCATCGAAGTTTTCTACTAAGTTGCAACAGCTGAAACTTTGCACACAGTAGATAGTAAGTTGTGCTATTGTACCTAATTGTAATTAACTCATCAACCCTTCATCATGCTAGAGCTAACTTTCTTGTGGTAATAGTTTCTATTATTTCTTAAAGATATCGGTTTCTATTTTTCTGTCCATTAAGTCTCAAGCGTCTTCGGTCGAACTTTTCAATGTCTATTCCCTTTTTTGTTTAATGAGTATACACATGTTAAGTAAACTTTCAGGAACGCGGTCAAGGAGAAAAAACACTGTCTGGCGAAACATCCACAAATGTGGGTGAGTGGCGGTGGTTGGGTTCGAACTCGGGACCCCTAGAAGGGTATTTTGATGACCTTAACCACTTGTCCAGCACTGCTAAGACGGGGATCCAGTGAGCAAGCAGGCTAAGGGAGGAACGACTACTCGGTGCAGTGTATACTCATGAAAAGTCCGAGAGCAATGTGTTCCAATGTCAATCCCGCCAGGATTCATGTTGCATATTTAAAGCAGCACTCCTGCCCTAGTGGCTGAAAATCCATCCATTCGGATGAATAAAGCATTTCGTGACTCGTTCCTATATATCTAATCAATAGAAACTGACCCATCTTTCCAATGGGCGTTTGTCGTCTGCCTTTACCGTAATTCTGTTTGTAGTCGTCGTCCTGCTCGGAACTATAGTCCTCAAAATCATAACCAGATCCTTGTAATGCACCACCTCGGTTTCTCAGATCCCCATACTCCTGTTCACTAGTCTAGTGGTGCCGGTCAAGTCTAAGAGTAATCAGATAGCTTCGCTCGGCCGGAGGATTGATTGATCTTACTTTCGGCTACGATCGCCGACGGGTCTATGACACGCGTTGCTAACGCTGACTTGTTGATCGGGTGGAACATTGGCCACAACAAGGAAATGAGTTTTAACAATTCCACTGAAAAAGTGTAGATGGGATCATTTTAGACACCCCTACTCGAAAAATCGAAATCCAGTTATAACATACATTCTCATCCATATATTTTCGTAGTTGCAACAACGGTGGTGTTTAATGCCGCATAGCATCCTAACTCCGGCCAATTATTCTATCCGAAGCAATTCGACCACTGACAGCTGTGATTTTCCCTGACACCGTCTGTGAGGGAAACCACCGTAAAATTTCATTCGAACTACACAAGTGTACAGAAGTTAAAAACACCGTCAGACATGCATAACGTGAACACGAGATCAATCTGGATTCAGTTCAGTTGACTTCTTGCAACCATTAACCATGCACTTTCGT